AAGGGTTGAACTCCACTAAGTTCTACTAGAGGTTTCCCCCACCCCTTCTTTAAAGATGTTCAAAGTTGGAAACACCGGAAACTACTCTTTATGACCTCCTCTGCCTCTACAGAGTAGGTCTAAAGACTGGTACGATCAGGAGGTCTGAAAGCACAAGGGGGTTGGGGGGGTGCAGGGGTGCCCATGGGGCTACCTTCCTGGTGCTGAAGATGGTGGCGGCGCTGTCAGGGGAGGGCTCGGCCGAGCAGGCCCTCTGGTGCTGGAGATCTCGTGTGTATTTCTTCTCAGTTAATAAAGGAAAATTATCTCTACAAAAATTCCTTTTTTCCCTAGGATTTTGGAGAGTGAGTGGGCATATTTTTTGTAGGTTTAATGAGTAGCCAGTTAGAAGGTGGGGTAAAATACATTTGAGCTATGGATTCCAAATTCTGATTATTTTCTGATTACCATATTTTTCATGCTTTTCCCTCAATAAGATCCATTTACAGTATGTTAAATTCCTAACTCTTTAAAAAGTAGAATGTTCTGTTTGCTTTTGGTAGCTGAGATTTATGCCAACCAAAACCTATTATTAAGCACTAATAAGTAAAACCTAATCAACAAAGGGGAAAAAAGCTATGAAAATGTAAATAAAAACCAAGGTATTTTGTTATTAATAATTTGCTTTTTTCCTGACCTGTCAACTCTTTGGCACATCATTCTTTTCCTTTTGTTTGTTTCATTATTCTTAGAAATGGATTGTCACTGTGTTGCAGGCTGGCGGGCAAACATGCAATCCTCCTGCCTTAGCCTTCAGAGTTAGCTGGGATTACAGACATGTGCCACTGCACCATGCACGTCTCTTTTAGAAGCAGAGATAATAGTCACTATGTGGCAAGCACAAGGAAGGTGAGATTAAAGGCATCGTTCCCTCTCTTCTCTGTAGGAAGTAATCTTTGGCCTTATCTCTCCTTCTGTTACAGCACAAGAGGTTCTCCAAAGATACCACTGACGTCCCCCATCGGCTTCTCCATTTCCTCCTCGTTGCAGTAACATTTCTGGGGCTGCACATTGAACCATTCTATCTTTTGTTCTAGCTTTGGTCTCCTTGAGCCGCATGGAGGACACTGTCCTCTTCCAAGGGGTCCAGCCAGGGCAGCTGTGATCCGTGTGGATCCTACATGGTGGGAGGAAACCTGTCCAGGCTGACTGGGTGCAGCCAGGAACAATGACACACCATGTTCAATGGTGGGCCCTGGTCAGGTTCTTTCTTGCTGGGGAGCAGGGGACAAAGTTGATGGCAGCATTTTACCTTCTGAGAGTGCTTCTAGACCTTACCTGTGCGCTGCCTGTAAGGAGGCTAGCGGAAGTATGTGTGCAGGCAAACACCCGAGTTTCAGCAGGCCAGTTTGAAGATCCTTTTATTTGAGGGAACCTGTGGATCTGATGATCCTGTGCTTAGGTAACACTGCCAATCGTTGATGAATTTGGAAATTGTTAACTAGTGGATCTTTGTTAACCGGGAGGACGTTTAAACAGGATTTGTGCTGTTCAAATAATATTTGTTATCAAAGGCTTGGTTGAAATTATTTGTGGCACACTGATCACTTTTGCAAAGCAGAACAAGCTTAGCAAAGGCATCCAACAAAACTGAATACAAATTGAGAAATATTGGACGGTAAGTAAAGCTAACAGAGAGACTTTCGTAAAGGTAAACTGAAGGTCCTACACTTTGGGTTCAAACATACTCACACACAAGCACACCCCTCAGTCTTACTTGTTCTTGTCTCTCTGACAAGGGAGGGTTGGATCTGAAGCCAGGATTTCAGTGTAGTATCCAGCGTGGGCATGGACGTGTGGAAGGTAGGGTGACACTGGCTAGAGGACAAGCAGGTCCCAAGCTGGCCAGCTTATGTAACAGTATCCACACATTTCCTCAGAGGTTAAGATTGTATTGCAGCTTCAGCTTGAGTGGTCAAAGCCAGTACAAACTAGAGAAACTTCTCAATTAATTACCCAACCATGTCAGGTCTACAAATGTGCTTGGTATTCGTCACTTTTCACATTGCTTTTGTATGCTGCTATATAAAATCTTTGAAGTAAAGATTTATCATACCGAATTTCTCATATTTGCACTTAAATCTATTTGTAGGCCAAAAAGAAATAAATAACAGAGACTGGAAGATTTTTCCTGTAGAGGGCCCTTTGAAGGCCTATGATCTTTGGTGCAGCTGATCAGGTTGGCCTTCACAGCCAAAGCAGATGGTAAATAACCATTGACTGTAAATATGTTCCAATAAAATTTTATTTATGGACACTGAAAGTAAAAACAAAAACAAAAACAAAAACAATACTGGAAGAGGTTAGGGGGGCAGGAAGCCTCAGGCTGCACAACAAGCCAGATGGGATCTGTGGCCAGGGAAGGGAGAGGGTGGGGCGCTGTTGCAGGCAGAGCCTAGGGCAGTTCCTGTACTTGGGGTCACTGCTGTGTGTTATTTGTTGCAAGGGCCTCAGGCTGGGTAGGGAGGATAGTTAAAGGCCCTGCCTGGTGTGGACCAAGGTGAATACAGCAAGGGGAAGCCACCCTTGGAGTAGCATTAAACCAACCGGGAAGACTCAGGGATTTGAGCTGAAGACCTGCTGTGAGTTACTATCAGAGTGCCTTTGCCAAAATAAATTTCTGATCTCAGGCTGCACTGACAGGTGTCAACAGTGCTTACAATGAGTCTGGGTTTCACTGGGGTACTGAGTCCAGCACTGAGCACCACCCTTAGCAAGGTTTATTGGTATTCCAAAAGAGAGGTTTCATTCATTCCTTTACCAAATATTTGCCAGACATTTACTAAGGGTCAGATATTTCCCTAGACACAGGATTTAGCCACAAACAAGATAGCTAAGTTGCCAACCTCAGGAAGCTCATGTTCTAGTGCGGAGAAACAGGAAGTTACGTCAAAGTGCATAGCAAAGTCAAAATGAATAGCATAATGTTATATAGGAACGAGTCTTACGGATAGTGACATAGGATGCTGTGGTGCAAAGGGACTTACTCGTGGGAGTTGGGGGTGATTTACGTATTTAGGAGGGCACAGGAAGTCTCTGAAGTATGAGTAATAGGCGAGCATAGAAAGACCCAGGAAGATCATTCTGGGATAGAAGGAGCAGCTCATGCCCAAGGGCCTGGGGCAGGGAAAAGTGTAGGGAAGAGAAAGAAGGCCAGTGTGCCTAGGGTGCAGAGAGCCAGGATGGGAACTGTGAGGGGACTAGAGGAAGGGGCAGGGTGTGAGGATGACTATGGGGGGCTGGGGGCACAATGATCCCTTTTATTATTTTAGTTTAAACAGCATTTACTGTGTGCTAAGCACTGTCCAAGTCTTTCACAAATATTACCTCACCCATCCTCATGAAAATAATGGTGCTAACTAATAATTAAACTGCATTGTACAGTTGAAAATGCTTTCAGAGCCATTATTTTATTTGGAACATAAAAAATCTCTTTAAGTAGGGCTTTGTAGGGAGCAGGGGTGGTACTGGGGATTGAACCTAAGGCCTTTGCACTGAGATACAGCTTCAACCCTTTTTGTTTATGTATTTATTTTCTATTTTTACAGATATGGGGCATTGCCAAGTCACTCAGTTGCCCAGCCTGGGCTCAAACTTGTAATCTTCCTGCCTCAGCCTTTCAGTGTACTAGGGTCACAGGTGTTCAACACCACACCTGGCTAAGTAGGGCTTGTTTTTGACACTGACCTTACAGACCCTGCATGTGAAACATAGAGACCATTAAGTGATTATTCATTCATGGACTGAATCTTGTGTTGTTTTCATTCTTGGTGTCACTTGAATAATTACTGAAGGACACGGACTACTTAACCTGGAAAAGTGCCTCCTAAAGGTGCTGTGGCTCCACCTTTTTGCAGAGATATAGCATCATGGCTGTGCCTAAGTGCTTCAGGGGCTGTGCTAGCAGCTGCCGCCCTTCTCCACTTACTGGCCTCAGTGACCTCTGATACCTGACCTGAGATCCCATGGGTCCACCATGCACATTGGGTAGGGTCTGACACTTGCTGAGTATTGGTATTTTTTTTAGCTGTTGCCATTCCTTTATTTAATCAAAATTTCAAAGTAACTGGAAAAATGTTTTAAATGTTGGTGGGAGTACATACTGGTGCAACCACTGTGGAAATCATTATGGAGCTACCTCAGATAACTGGGATTAGAAGCCCCATTTGACCCAGTTATTTCTCTGCTTCCCCATAGAATTAAAAGAACCATACCACAGCGATATGTGCTCTCCATGTTTATAGCGGCACAGTTTGTAATAGCTAAAACTGGGAAACAGCCCAATTGCCCATTAATTGGAGTCTGGATAAACAAGATTTTAAAAAAATAAAATGGAATACTACTAAGCCATAAAGAACAAGAAACTAGAGACATTTATAGCTAAATGGATGCACACTGAGGTGATACGTTTAGGTATAAATAGGACATGTGTGTAAATACCGAATAGTTTCACAGGTGTGAAAGACTAAAAGTGTAAATAAGGACCAAACTGTATAATTGATATTGTGAAATAGGAAGAAAAGGACTCAAGGAGTAGGGGAAATGGGACGGGTAGGGGAAAGGTGAGAAGGGAAAAGAAAAAATATAAGAAAAGGAAAAAAATGGAAACAGTCTTTGTAAATAGGGAAGGGTAGAGGGGTTGAAGGGAGGACAGGGGAATGGGGAAAAAAATACGAACCAGGATACATCATGTAAAGGCACAAGACCCCAATGATGAATGTAACTGCACTGTCTTCTTAAAATGTACCAATAAACTCAATGGAAAAAAATATTTAAAATGAGTCCAGATTTGTCCCTTCAATTAGGCAGGGAGGAAGGAGTGTAGCCCATAGCAAGCAGGATGCTGCTGCCGCTGATTCACTGAGCTCCCAGTTCTGTTACCGGCAGCGTCTCCCCAGCAAGAGATGTGCTGTGTGGGGAGAGACGCGGGGCAGCGTGTGGTGCGTTCCCGCGTGCAGCTCGTGTTCTAGTGCCGTTATCCGGTTCTGACCCCAAGCTGGGTGCTGTACCCCTCTCAGAACTGCGGAACGAGTAAGAAGACAAAGCACAGACAGTGCAACCAAGGGGACTTTTACTCTTGGCCCAGAAGAATGGGAGGAGTCTAGATAAACTGCAAATCCCGTCTGTGACCTCTTGGAGGCTGGGAGGCTATAGCAGGGGTGAGAGACACTAGGGGAGGGATAGGCTAATAAGAGGAAGGACTATTCATGTCTTTTCTGGGACTGGGTGGAGATTTTCTGTGAATTTGAGTCCAGGCTTCTTTTGGCTCTATTTATGGTTCTTTTCAGACATTGTCATGGCAACCATCAACTGTCACGGTGCTGGGGATGAGTGTGTCATTTAGCCTGTAGACAGCGTTGCAGTGAAGGTAGTAGTTTTCTGGTCGTCACTCTGCAGCCAGCCACCTTAGCCTCAACCAGTTTAGATGAAGAGGGACTTCAGGTTACAGGCACCCCGTCTTCGAGGATAGGCAGGAGGAGTTCAGATAGGTCACCTCGGCAAGACGGGACTGGGGCTGGGTAACAGTTGGGACAATAAGCAAGACAAAAGCAAACGTCTCTGGGATTTCAAGTCTTATTCAGTGTTGAGGATGCAATGAGATGTGTTTGTTCTCCATTGCTGCATATGAACCTCACTGATGCTTAGTGGCATAAACAACCAGTCATTTATTGCACTCACAAATCTGCCATTTGGAGAGGGCTCCCAGGACCGGCTTATGTCTGCTCCGCATGGCACTAGCAAGGTGACTGAGGGTCACTCTCAAGCTTCCTCTCAAATTTGGTAATAGTTGTCATTTGGGAGCCCAGCTGGGGTTGTGGCCCCGAGCATCTGAGTGGGACTGCTGTGGCTTCCACATAACATGGTGGCTCGGTTCCAAGAAACTGTTGGTCTTCCTCATGCCTCGTGCCTCATGAAGAGTCACTTCTGCTGCATTCCATTGACCGAGGAGTCAGGATTCAAAGAAACCTAACTAAAGAGTGCTCATAAACCCAAGACTTCACGAGAAGAATGTAGAAATAAATAAATAAAATCGTGGCCATCTTTAATTTATCATAAGCTGCTATTTCTTAAGTTTCTATCATTAAGTTACTTGTCCTAATGAGCTTTTATTTTTGCTTGTAGATTTTTCTATACAGAGAATACAATGACATTGTTTTGTAGTAGGTGCTAGCTTTACTATGAGTTTATGGTCTGGCCATCTCATGAGGGTTATTAATGAACACATTATCATGTTTCTCCTTTGATAATACATTTTTCTTTAAAAAAACCCTTTTGGTGAAATAACTAAGAGTGAAAAATCTAACTAAGAGTGTAAATCCTTATGTAAAATTCAATATGAATTCTGTATATTTAAATCTTGTAAGATCAACAGGTCTTTAAGCTGTGTTCTATGATCCATTTCTGAATCTCATGGGTTTTTCCCATATTTTCAGATTCATAGTCTCATGCAGCTTCAAGTCCAGAGCCCTCTGAAGTGTGTTATTTACTGTCAGTGATTGTTGCAGACGTATTAGGAAAAGGTGTGCTTAGTTTACTGTGCTGTCGCCTAATGAGCTGATGAGTTTTTGGCCTTCTCACGGGTCAGCCCAGCTCACCTCCCTCTGCTGGGGGGAGGTAGGAACACCCATGATGGAATTTCACTCAATCACTTGTTTTCCTTGGATCATTGATTAGGTAACTAACTTTTCTGCGAATCAGTCTCTACAATTACAAAATGGAGATAATAGCAACTCCGAAAGTTGTTTTGCAAGATTTAATGACCTACCTTTAGTGAATCACCTATGCATACAGTAAGTACTTACTGAAAGGTTGTTTCCTTTCCATGCCAAACTTTCTTGTCTTAAGTCAAAGTCATCAACAGAACAATAGAGTGCATGGCAGCCTATCCTCACTGGTTTAGTCTTTTCTCTCTTTCCTAACCATTCAGTGGCACTAAACCATAGTATCTCAGATGAAAGAAAATATGCACAATTCATGTACGTATCCTGCACTCACACACACATGCACGGATGACACATACATGCACTCCTGCACACTCATCACATCGTTTCTTTTCCACCTAGCAGTGAGACAAAAGGCTTAGCTCATAAGACCTCACCAGAACTTAAATCTGAATACAAACAGGATTGTGAGACAGGTACAGATGGTTTCTTCACTGCAGCAGGTGGCCTATATTCCCTTTCTTTCACCGTTGTTCTTGATCTTTCTACCTTGCCATCAGTTCTGTTCAGACGAAGCTGTGGAGAGCAGAGACCGGCAGCCCCCTCTGAGTTCAGCCTTCAATACCCGCAGATCTTTCCCTTGTGTTCCTTGAAGCAAGCAGCCTGGCTTATCCACTCCGGAAGGTTTGTTTGTTCCTTGGCTAGATTCTCTATGTGCCTGGCAGATCAGGAGAGACAGAGGAAGGATTGCCTTAGGTGGCTGCAGCGGAGAACTAATGGAGGGAAGGCTTGAGGGCTTTGTCCAGGGGTATCTGGCTGGAAATCTGTGGATGCTCCCTGTCACACAAACGTGCCCAGTCGAATATTCTAGTGAGCCTTTTGATGGCATCAGAATAAAGGTGAACCTCTGAGAGAGAAGGCTGACTTTTGTTGGTGTTTGAGGTATAAGAATCCAGAGACCTTTGAGTGGGCCTTTTGAAAGCGAGAGGTCCGTCTCCCTATACCTTTCAGTGTCGATGTCCAGACTTCCAAGTCTTAGGTGGCCCCCATGTGCCTTTTAAACCGATGTCATTACAAAGATGTTACAATCCCCATCCTTTTTTTAGAATCACACAAAGAACTATCCTTAATATGAAATGGGATATAAAAAGCAATTTCTTATCTGTGAGTCCTCCAGCAATCATCAGTGACATCCATGATTAATGAGTGCATGGGTGGTTCCTAGAATGCTAATTGTCGTTCTGTGGTATAGAATCACAACCTGGGTTTTTTGTTTCTCTCTCTTTTTGGCCTTCTGTCCAAGTGTGCCTCTATCCAAATCTAAATAGCATTTGCCATGACACAGTTTGTACCCTCAGCAGTTACAAATGCAAACTATTTTATAGTTTTGTATAAGCAAATAGTAAAATTCACGCTTAAAATGTACAAAAAGGAAATGAGATGTCGTGCATGATGCTGTCCGTTCATTAGTGAGCGGGAATCAGGAGTGCGGTCTGTGGAGATTCTGTGGAGGTGGACTGACCTGGATGAAAACTCATTCTTCTCTTTCAATGACTGAGTGTCTGTCTTGTCCAGTAAACAAACCTGTCTACCTTTCTGTGCTCTTGGGATAACGGCAATGATCTCTCCAGGTTCTTTCATGGCATTAATGAGATGATTCATATGAAAGATTGTCATTTTTTCCTGGCACAGAAGGGACACAAGGAACACTCTTTATTGGTTTTTGTTTTTTTGGTACAGGGGATCAAACTCTGGACCTTCCGCTTGAGAGGCAGGCAATGGCACCATTGAGCTAAATCCCTGGTCCCAGGAACACTCTTTATTGTTGGTGCAGAAACACTTGTATCTTGAATCTTGCTATAACGTGGAGAAGTTATTTAGCTTGTTTCCTTTCCTATTTCTATAAGTTCTTATTTGCTTATGTGTCAGAATGGCCATGCTGATTTAGTACTTATGAATTTGTGCCATTCATTGGTTTTTACCTTTGCTTGTGGGACTTAGGGTCTCAGGTTTCTCTGTGAGGTTTGGAAGGGATGTCAGAGCATCACCTCTCTTTGTCTTTTCTGTTATGACTCACCCGGTGCACTGCATCCTTTGGGTGCTTGGTGCTACTTGAACAAATGGCCGTGTTTAGTAGAAGTCAATGAAGATCAGAGAATCAGTTTTTATGGGCATGAGAAGCCTCCAAGTTTGCAGGAGAAAAGGACTCTGTTCTTCTTTGCAGCTAGAAATTTCACCCTGCGTTTTGCATAGTCATCTTACAGTCTCTCAAAGTTACTGAGCAAAACGGGAAGAGGAAGAGAAGGACAAGCATTGTCCCTGGGGGCAACACAGTTCCGGATTACTGTTTATAGAAATGTTTGGATCAAAAATTTTATTTCTCTAACTTTTGGACAGAAGATATTTTATGACCATTAAGCTTTTGAAAGAACTTAGTAATATAATATCTTAGCTTCTCATTGTGACAACATCCTTGAGAATATTCAGTGAAAGTTTACTTTGAGCTTCACAGGTTTCAGTCCATGGTCATCCATCTCTCTTGCTTTAGGTATATGGTGATGTAGAAACATCATATTGGAAGAATGTGGCAGGACAAAACTACTTGCCTCATAGCAACCAGACAGCAGAGAGAGAAGGGAAAGAGGCAGACGGGAATGACTGGTGAGGAGGTATGGTACCCAAGGTCACCTCTTGATGATTCACTGCTTTCAACTAGGCCTCACCTCCTATTTCTGTCACCTCCTAACAATGCTTTACAATTATGACCTCATCAGTGGGTTCTTCCACTGATAAAGCCCTCATGATCTAATTCCCTCTCTAACCCTCACCTCCAAACATTGCTGCACTGGGGATCAAGCCCTCAACACACGGGTCTATGGGGGCACACTTTATATTCAAGTCATAGATACACATAAAATTTACCACGTGAGCCTATTTTTTAGGTGTGCTAAGAACTGAACCCGTGCTTATGTTAGGAAAATATTCTGCAACTGAGCTATAGTTCCAGATCAGTAATGCATTTTAAAGTGTACGATTCTGTGGTATTAAAGTACATTCATGTTATTGCGCAACTGTCAGCATCATTCATCTCCAAAAGCTTACCTTTCCGAGTCAAAACTGGTACTCATTAAACAATAATTGCCCATTGCCTCTGTCCAGCTGCTGGCAGCCACCCTGTTATTCCTGGCTCTATAAATTTAACCACTCCAGGTGCTGCTTCTTGTAAGGGGAATCATACTGTACTGTCCTTCTGTGATGGATTATTTTGCTGAGCACAGCATCCTCCTGGTTCCTTCATGTTGCAACAGGTATAAGTATCTGCTTCCCTTTAAAAACAGAGTAACATTCAGGTGTGTGTATGGACCACAACTTATGATCCATTCACCCATGGATGCATGCTTGGGTTGCTTTCACTTTTTGGCTATTGTGAATAAAGCCGTCACAAAGCCTGGATATCCATATATATTA